ACCACGGCCACCCTGCAGCACAACAACATGGTAAGATTAAACTAAACGGAATCATTATGCAAAAGGGTTTTTCATGACCTTAACCATACTTTCAGTCAGAATGTACTGAGGATATTATAAACAAAACTTGGATATTTTGAGGGAAGCATAAGCAGAACACTTTTTCTGTCTCGTGCATATTCGATTATAAACCTGATAAAACAGTGATCCATGTACATACCCGTCTTCCCTGGGTTCCAGGGGGTCCGGGTTGTCCTCTGTCGCCAGGGGTACCTGGGGAACCCTTCAGACCTTGTTCGCCTTTGTATCCACCTTGACCGGGGGATCCCTGTACAAATGGTTAAGAAAAGGTTATATTCACCTTTTCAAGTTATGAGGTATCTGACTACTTTAATTTAAATAATAATCGCTTTATTTACAAGTGTCCCTCATTGCATCCAACTCAAAATGAAAATGACATATGCAAGTTTCAGCTAATGTCTAATTTGATGGATAGTGAAAACATACAGCAGCGCCCTTAAGACCAGGCAATCCGGGGCTTCCCAAGAGTCCGGGGGGTCCACGGGGTCCAGGGAATCCTGGAGATCCGGCTGCTCCTGGATCACCCTGAGGTGAAAATAGAAATATGATCGCACATGTTTAAAAATATTATTGGCGATTACATAAATTTCTCTCGGGTCGACACATAAAACTGAATGGTTGCAATGCAAAATGATATGGGGTTTCTGCTTAAGATCGATGGCATGATAGTACATATCTACTTCAGAACATGTGGTTACTTTCATACATACGTTACAAAATATATTTATTCACAAAAGATTAGATGTTTCTTCGATCCCAAAGATACTCACACCAGTACCCTTCTCGCCATCGCTTCCTGATTGTCCTGGAGGTCCGTTCAGTCCATCCTCTCCGTCAGCTCCAGGCATACCGTTCTCTCCACGAGGACCCTGGGGTCCAACTCCTCCCTTGGGTCCCTTAGCACCAGCGTCACCCTGAGAAATGAACGTTCTGTGTTAGTATAATCAAATAACATGATGTTATTTCAAAGAAGTAATATATATGAATAATTATTTTCGTATTAACATTGAAAATATTTGTTCAACTGGAGTGGGGATTGCGCCCTTGATTGTGAATCCTTCTCCGTATTGTGAATACATTTTGGCCTCCCATTTCTAAATTTAGCCAGCTCCTATGTTAACTAAGAAATGAAAACTTAGGTTATAGCTGCCCAGTCATTAAATGCACATTGTTCAGGAAGAAATAATGAATCGTTTCCCTTATAGATATGCCTGTATATATATGTACCTTATTGTTTATATTTGCTGAACAGCAAAATAAAAAAAGTGTAAAGAGGTTATAGAAAGAAACTGCTTCTTACCTTAGCTCCAATCATTCCTGGAGATCCGGGAGGTCCGGATCCTCCCATAGCTCCTGGGGATCCAGGTTGTCCAGGCAGGCCATCAACACCACGAAGACCTGAAGGTCCAGAAGAACCATCCTGACCCCTCTCGCCAGACTGACCACGGGGGCCAACTGGACCAGGAGCTCCGGATGGGCCTGGGGCACCGACGGCACCCTGAAGAAGAAACAAAGATCATGATCGACCTCAAGTTTCTTTCACTTGCAGATACAATGCTACAGACAAGCTGCTTTCTTGTAGGCTATACAGAGTTTTATCTGGTTTCGTCATGAAAATATTTAGAAGTTTTGTGATTCAGTCTTTGAAAGGCATTTAGAAGTGATACACATGAGGAAGAGAATATGTAGATGTCAACTTCTTTATTTTGAGGAACACAACGTTTCGGAGTGTATCCTTACTCCTTCATCAGTTGACATTCATAAATTCTCATCCTGATATACATGTATATCTATAACTTGATATATATATTTTTATGGCAAAGTTTTTGGCATGGTATGCAAGTCTCATCACAGTTTTAGCAAAAGAAGAGATGATTGAAGCCTAAATTGTGTGCTTGAAGTAAATTGTATAAATGTATTTATGCAGCGAAGTACTTACAGTCTCTCCTGAAATACCCTGCTCTCCGCGTTTTCCAGGGAAGCCAGAGAAACCCTGGAACGGACAGAGAAACACATATTATCTTAAACATGTCAAATACGTATTATCAGTAGGGAAACTGATAAGGGGGTATTAATTTCCAGAAAATACCTCCGACAAACGTTTGGAGGAAAATTCACGCATACTATTCAATCATGTACTTTGTTTATCACCATTACATCTTATCGGTGTGCTATGGCGAATAACTGAAGATGACATCATCAAATGTTCACGGCTCCACTGACTATTTTAAATTATGGCTTTAACACAATAGCAAGGTTGAACATGTGGCTGACAAATATTCGCCATGTTCAGGAATAATAGGAATAATAATAATGATAATAATAATAATAATAATAATAATAATAACAACAACAATAACAACTATCATTTATGCATTGATTCACATTGTGCGAATTTAGAAGTGTGTTCACAAGACTTACTCTGTGTCCCTTTCCACCAGGAAGTCCAGGCATGCCAGATGGGCCAGGTGGTCCCTGAAGAAGTAATCAGATGACCTATATATATATGTAACCTTTGTGCCATATATAATGTCATAGCACGGCTATCATCTCAACAAAGGCCTAAATGCAAGGTCTTCGAAAAATAAAAACAAATTTTTGTTTCAATTTAATCTTATGTCATGTCATATTTGATGCTAAAACTGTAGCAAACACCTACAAAAGCCATAAATGTAATTATGCATGATATCAGTTGTTTTTTGTTTTTTTAAAAAGAAATGTACAATACAAATTCCAAGTTTCTACTTTACCCTAGCGCCAGGGACACCAGGAGCTCCTGCTTCACCATTACGTCCACTGTCACCCTGAAATCACGACAATAAACTATAGTTGTTCGTCCAAGTGAAACTGGTGACAACAAAGGAAACATCAGTATCTTGCTTTACGGGCCTCTATTGCAAATGAATGTCAAACGAAATGTGCATGTAACATTGTATTTGGTTGTGCTCTCACCTCAGGTCCGCTTGGTCCAGGTGGTCCAGGCTGTCCACGACTTCCGGGGGCTCCCTATAACAAGTAGAGAACAATTTCCAACATACGAGTTCGTCTGGACAGACATACCTATATATTTTCCATATTAAACCAAAATTTGCTCTTCATATGAACTGTGCATGATCGTTTAAAAACACATCCATGTTAAATCTGAGGATAGTCAAATCACTCGGTTCATAGAAGGGAATTAGTTCTGAATATTCCATTATGAATTTAAACCTTAAAACCTAATATGTATTAGTTTGTAGTTTATTTATATACCTTTGATTTGATTTATTTACTATCAGTTAAAATCAGTTGATTTATTACTTATTCACAACTAGGCAACAAATGGAATTAATAACAGATGCGTATATGAATAAACCCAAGACTTCTCGGGAACTTCAAGTGTAAAGTACATTAACTAGGTTGTGACCGTAGGTACTTACTTGTGGTCCGCTGTCTCCAGATTCACCTCTGATTCCACGGCCTCCTTGGGGTCCCTGAAATTCAGTTGAGACGTTCATGATTTTTGCACTTACATAGCGATGTGTATGCACGTGTATGTGTGAATGTGTGTGTGTGTGACTGCTTGTACCAGTCCGGACTATTGCCGATTTCATAGTGCCAGTCCACTGAGATACCATGCCGCAGTTTTACATGAAAACCCTACCCAAACACAGTACACTGACTCCGAGCCGACCAGCCAGGCAGGGTAACAACAAGTACCATCTTTGTTAACGTCTTTTGGTATGACACGGCCGGGGATCGAATCCCCGACCTTCTCCTGTGAGACGCTCCAACACTAGACCACGGAAACAGTACTTAAATTCAGCACAATTAAAGTAATATAATAAGTAACCGCAATGTAAAAGTTTTCGAGCAGTTTTGTACAACTGGAAATGAACTACACATTTTACTGTTGTAACAGCTGTTAATTTTATACCAGAACTTACGGGTGGTCCTGGAGATCCACTCAATCCACGTGGTCCAATGGGTCCCTGAAGTCAAAAGTATCAAAGTAATAAAATAGTTATCTAAAATATAATAATTTTTCAAAGATGCAGTTGTTATTATTTGATTTATTATAGGTATGTCCATAGAAGTAAACAGAAGATTACACTAGACAAGACAAAGAACAGAAAACAGGTATTTAAATCTCCTTATAGTTCTTATACTGACATACTTTCTTTGAAGAGATCACCTCAGCAGTACCAACAGATGGGTATCACAAGAGAATGAAAGATACCCTTTTAAACTTTCTCTTGAACTTTGAGGTGTGTAATTTTAACACTAGATACACCTGATTTGCAACATTTTAAAACGATTATTCAGTCGATACGTATGTCAACATTGATGTGTAAAAGAATACTAACCAAAATCACGAAGTGAAAAGAGTATCTCTAATCTACATTCCACAGAATATTTTTCAAGTTGTTTATTGCTATTTACTATGGTGTAGTTTCCTACTTACAACTTGAGCTTGAAGATACTGAGGTCCGTAGGCAGCTCCGCCACCAGCTTTGTTGGAGAACCTGCTGGCGTAGTAACGGCGGTAAGCCTGGTCAGCTGACTGAGGGAAAACGATAGGGGGTCACATGAAACGTCCATCGTACACGTACAGTTTTAAATGTTGCAAACGTAAGTTAACGCATTCTGTTGCATTAAATGGCTACTCGCTACCTCGCTTTATTTTATAGTTCATTTAGTATGTCGAGTGTCTTTTCAAAGCGGGTCATATTATATCATTTGGAATCGGGTCATATCATATCATTTGGAATCGGGTCATATCATATCATTTGGAATCGGGTCATATCATATCTTTGGTGTCGGGTCATATCATATCATTTGGTGTCGGGTCATTTCATATCATTTGGTATCGGGTCATATCATATCATTTGGTATCAGGTCATATTATATCATTTGGTATCGGGTCATATCATATTTGGTATCGGGTCATATCATATCATCTGGTGACGGGTCATATCATATCATTTGGAATCGGGTCATATCATATCATTTGGTATCGGGTCATATCATATCATTTGGTATCGGGTCATTTCATATCATTTGGTATCGGGTCATATCATATCATTTGGTATCAGGTCATATTATATCATTTGGTATCGGGTCATATCATATTTGGTATCGGGTCATATCATATCATCTGGTGACGGGTCATATCATATCATTTGGTACAAGGTAGTGTTGTGTCTCCACAATACCCGATTCATCACAGTAGATTAGAGAATCTAGACGTAGTTAGAGAGAGAGAGAGACTTACCATCTCGCTCTGTCCTGGGGAGCCAGGGGGTCCGGGGACACCATTAGTTCCATCAGGACCGGAATCTCCCTGGGGGTAAGATTAATAGCTACTTGAAGCTGGGATATAGTCTAGCTGTCAATTTACCACCGAAAGACGGAAAAGACTATAAAAAGAAAAATTGAGGTTCTTTGAACGAAGAGCAAGTATTTTGTTCGGAATTCATGACGGTAGGGCAAAGCACGTTCACCAATTTTGTAAACAACTAGTGTCCTCATTTAAACTTTTCGTGAGTTTATTGGAATTTATTGATCCTATTGTGTGTACTATAGTTCTTTTTTCACCACTGACGCATTATTTTTTCAAATGTATTTCACGTTTGTTTGTAGGAAATATTCCTGCCATGTCTAAAGAAAACAGTCAGATTAGGGTTTGCATTTTCAGAAAGGAGTTTCCAACTAATACTCACAGCCTCTCCCTTTGGACCTTGTGGGCCTCGTTCTCCATCCTCACCAGGCAGTCCCTGAAATAGCAATGACAAATATCTAATCCATGCATACAACAAACAAACACAACAACTACTTACATTATTGTTACTTAACATTGAAAGTGCCTTAAAGTTTAGAATTTATCACTAAAACTGAACGCAGAGAATAAGGACCACGAGTAATTTTTTCGGTTATAATTAGAGGTGATGATGACTTACGGTGACGGCAGCCATGACCCTCATCTTTTTCTGCAAAGGAAAAAAACCACCATAAAATATCAACGCTATCACGGAAACAAACGTGACAAGTGAAATCTTCAAAGTGAAAAAACCACCAGATAATATTTAGATAAGATTGAATTATTATTTTGCTGCTTGAAGCATGTTTACATATAGGTGAATAAACGTCCTTATAACGTTAGTCTGTCACAACGTATTTATTTTGACGTTATATGTTGTGAAGCCTAAGTTTAGTGTTTTATATAAACCTACCTCCTCTGCGGTGAGGGCGGAGGCTGAAAGAGTGAAAACATTAAACATTAAAACACATTTTATACGTGCACCATCCCAAACATATACATCGCATTTTATACGTACACCATCCCTATGTAGCCCTACCGAGGATTTTAAACTGAGCTTAGAAAAATAAACTAGATCATAGTATTACTAACTTAAAAAACTGCATGAGCAACGACTTCATATTCAATAATTGAATGTATAGCGGTATCTGTAACTATGATATACTGTTTGGAAGGGTACACTCGTTTTAATACATTTAAGTTTAAGTTTCAGTTGATTGTATGAAAGAACTACGGGGACATGTTGATGAATTTACAGAAACAAATACATAGTTATTGTTAGGACTAATATATATGTTGCAATGTAAACCAGGAACTCCACACAATATCTGAGAGTTATTTTTTCAACATAGTTATATCAATAACGTCAGTATACATCGTCACGGAAACACATTCTTAAAAGATTATTCTCAGCACAAGAACTTCACACATGCGCAGGACACAAGATTTTAGCATCGGCACCTGATTTTAAACAGTCTTAAACTCTTCTAATGTGTCATTGACCATCACATCTGTATGTGAAATAATGGTATAGGGGACAAAATATACCATCAGCTGAAGTTCGTTGTACTTACCGTAACCGTCACAGTCGGCAAGGAAGGAACAGAGAGCCTCGCCATTGTCGCAAAGACATTCAAAACATTTGTCCTCATTATTTGGCAGCCATACTGCTCCGTTCTCGTACTGAATTCCTAGATATGTGCACCCTGCAAATAAATGGATGTACGTTAGTTGCAAATATAAGAGATAACCGAGTGCTGTGGGAGAGAATCAAGAGCAACTTGAACTGGGTAAATTATTTCTTGAACAAAGCGACATTTGACCAAAACTATTGTTATACTTCCTACGGGATTCTGCGAATGTATTACACTGGCAGTGTCAAGGTCAGGTAAAAATGGCAAAAGGTTCCAGAAAGCAATATATTATATTGGAGTTTGTTAAGTCTTGTAATGTAGGAGCTACGGCAGTACGACGTTGGGGTTAATATTGCTTCGAGGAAAGGACCTCAGTCCAGGCTTCACAAACTTTATGTGAATTTTGTAAATAAAAAAAAAAGTGTTTCTATTGTTTTGAACACTTAGTTATTAGCAGTATTTTTTCTTCAACAAAATAAACGTTAACAGTTAACCGCCTGGTCCCATCACAGCGCGTCACAACTTTAGTGGGACGGCCTCAGTTAAGAAAGTTATCAAGCAAGGTATCAGGTTTGCTGAGATTCTTGTAAGAGGCAGTAGGGGCGGTCGGGTAGCCTAGTGGTTATAGCGTTCGCTCGTCACGCTAAAGACCCGGGTTCGATTCCCGACATGGGTACAATGTGTGAATCCCATTTCTTGTGTCCCCGCCGTGATATTGCTGGAATATTGCTAAAAGCGGCGTAAAACTATACTCACGATCTCTGTGTGTAAGAGGCAGTGGCATTATACACAATGAGACTCTTGTGTTCCCTAACCTTGCAGAAACTCCACCAAAATAAGAGAATATTGCCGAAAATGACAATACAATTCATTTTTAGAATGATTGTTTGAAAAGAGGGCATGTTGTGAAGTAGGTTTCGACACCGATGAATGCATGCTTCAATACGATAATAAATGTAAGCCATTTCTGTCATTATGGTCAATACCAATCACTATTTATCACCCGTTATCGTTAGTATGGCTATGGAGGGGTCATTTAACTGCAAATGATCAAGGAATGTTTGATTATCACGAAAGTGTTCAAGAGAGACACCAACAATTCAGACGTTGCATCGTGTTTTAATATAAATCTTAATTACAGATATTGACACCTATAACCCTAAATGTTGATATAGCAAATGGAATATCGAAAGCTGAAAACCAATCGACAAATCTATTTTTAAGATTTAGTCTTGTTGAATTCGTAATTCTCTTTGGCCTCAACAAGTGAACTTTGCTTTGCATGTCACACATATTTGTACAAGGTGACTTGTATGTGCGATTGTTCAGCCAATGTTAAACGAAATGCATCCCATGTGAATGGAATTGTATTGTTGTATACAGAAGCATGTGTGATTGCAACCACATGTGGAGCTCTGACTTCAATTTGCATGTCTGGCCAGGAGTTAGGGAGTGGCAGGAATGTGGGTGGTGATAGAATTCTGGTTAAGTGTCTTAATGAGGGGTTAATATTCAAATAAGATTTTACTTTCTGCATACAGATGCGTATGTTCAAAATCTTATTCGTATGCTTAAATGTACTAGTATTACTCACAGTTTAATTCACTGACGAAGGTATCTCATGTTAAACTAAAATACGCGCATAATGAAATCTGAGACCATATTCCATTGAATGTATTTGTGATCAGGTACTTGTTACTTAATATGTTTTTACTACGAAAAGCTTTGTAATGCATGGGAGATAATGGTCAACGCAGGAGAAGCTGAACTTGTATGGCAAATTAAAAGAATGAACATAATGAATAAGTAAGTATGGTTTCACATCCCTGTCAATATTCCAGCAATAGTATGGCTGGGGACGCCACACATATTGCATGGGGGAATCGAACCCGGGTCTTTTGTGTTACGAGCGAATGTTTTAACCTCTTGGCTATCCGATCACCGGAATGTAGGTAGCCTATAATAGGCGGTTTGTAAGTGAGTGACTGGTGTTCTTTGACGTAAGTGAGTTAACCCCTCCATCACTGCACATGGATCAGACAAACCATTGGCTGATGGTGTGAGCAATGATCTACGTCGATTGTTTAACGATGCCAAATGCCAGACAATGGTTTGGAGATTGTCTTCTTTTGCACCAAACAAAGTCACCAGATTCTCAATTAGCTCGTTTCTTGGGGCAAGGGGGATGTTTCAGCTCTTGAATCAGAACGAGATCCATAGTCATCTTTTTTATGACATTTTGCTTTCTAAATATGAATATCGATTGATATGAATATACATAGATGAAAATCAGTTGACGATGACAGGCAAATCTAGCTATCCCAATTCAGATAGCATGTGGTGCAGAATGATGATACCAAATACCATTCTACCCAAATACCCTAGCAAATGACTAACATGACATGTTTATTGCAAAACACGAAGTCACATAAACATATCGTACCCACAAAGGTTATCAAAGCATACCTGTTTGGCATTAAAAACAGATGACCATTGTTGTATAGCAAAACAAACATCTTCCCTGAACACAAATCACGAAACAATTCGTAGGTATTTGTTTCACAGAGGGAATTGCTCTATGCTAACTTCTCAGTCATTTCTTTCGGCATGAACAGCAAAATGTGACAAAAGCGGTGAAAGATTGAATAAAAAGTAATCCACGGTTGAAATTTCGTTATATCAGAAAAAGGTTCACATAAGCAATGACGTTGATAATATATAACCTTTTGTTGGATATTGGTAATGCGTTGGGTTGGTGTTCAACCAGGGTTGACTTGGACGGGTTGACAGAGTTGACCTAGTTGATGGAGTTGCATATTTAGACAGTAGAATATGACTTTTACAAGACGTAGGCTATATAAATTTACATATATATTAAGTACACATTTGTTTTCAAATTAATCCAGCAGTGAAGAAACATTTTAGAGCTGTATGATCACAATTTGGTTCCGCAGTTAAGAAAGTGATATTCAATACCATATACCCCCAACCCTTACCGCGAGGAAAGCTCAGTAGCTAGCTTCAGAGCAAGAGGTAATTTGTATGAACACTCTATTTTAAAATAATGTCAAAAGAAATTAAAGCGATTGATGTCGTTATTTATTGGTTAACTGTCTTGTATAATATATCTGAGATATAATATCTGTTGTTGATATATAAATTGTAAATTATGATTACATATACATAAAAAGTAATGCTGTAATCAAGATAATATGTAATGCATATAAGTGCTGAGATGACGAAACAGGTGTAGAGGTTATCAATACCAATGCAACTGAGAACAGACTCATCAACTTCCAAGTTGAGATTCGCTGACAAAGAATTCCACGTTTACAATTGCTGACGTGGTGATACGTGGCAGCCATGTTGCTGACCCAGGCTGACCTAGATTTGGTGCCAAATGTCACGTGACATAATAATCTGTCATTGGTCGCCGTTCAGCCATGCATGTCCGATCAACAGGTGGACATTACCGTCACGAAAAAAATACAAAGATATAACAATAATTATTTCACCAAAATGTATCTCAGCGTAAAGGAAAGTGTGAATACATTTAGACACATTTCTTAATAACATCACACTTTCCATATCGCAGTCGCCATGCATGCACCATGGAACAAAGTAATAAAGGCATCAAACTGACAAATACGACAATACGCATGTTATATATATCATGTATATTATCATTTTGGATATGGAAAATGATGTGAAAATTCATCGGCATTGTACATGTGAATGTCATAATGTTTCAATCACATAAACACTGTCGCATTGTCACATACACAAATACACAGAGAATCAGAAACATATGTTAGCATCAAACTCAAAAACATGATACAATGTCAAATGAATGATATAATGCTCCTACCTCGATCTTTCTCCGGGGCGGCTGCGACTGTAACAACCAGAAGTACCACTACACAGACACACTCCTGAAGGCGCATGGTTACGCCAATCTATAGTCCCTTCCCACACGTAAAACTGTTAAACCATCCAAACTAATAAATAGGTGGAATTGGTTGCTTTCTTTGGGTAAGAAGCCGAAACGGCTTCTTTTTAACTAGGAAGAGCCGAGCTAGCAAGCGTTACCGCCTGCAACAACGGGTTCCTAGGACAATTTATAATTTCTGGCGTGCAGCCTTCCAGGACTGCGACCAGAGTCTTTTGAATATGCTCGAGTTTTAATATACCCTAAGAAAAAAGTTAACCAATCAGGACTCCAGGATACGTCGAGCTCTGACCCCCAAACTGACTATGAGCCAGGCCTGCCTCCCTTTTTGAAAGCTCCGTGCAGTGTACCTCACAGCGTTGTAACCCTACCCCCCTCGTTAAGTGCCCGGTTCCAAATGCTTGTACAGTCAGCTGGCGAGCTCATCAATTTCAACCACTGGAGCCTTTGACCTCTCTCTGACCACCATTTTAACACAAAACCAAGAGCAAAAGATGGATGCATTTCATTTTCGTACTTTTAACTCTTTGCGAAATATCAGTGCAACAAATTGTGATGTTTTTAAATACATTACTTGCATGCTAATTTAATCAAGTATTTTATCTAGGCGTTCATTGTTGAGTAAGCAACGCATATTAAAAGACATTATCATATTATTGTCCATATTAAGCTCGGTTTTGAAAACAAAAACTACCATATCAGAATCAGATAAATATATTTACATGATATACTGTAAATTGTGTAAGTATCGTGTGAGGTTTTAATGAAAATATGTGCCAAAGTGATGCAAAAGAACGTGGTTTGTTGACCTAATAAAATGTACTAACATCAAACAAAATCGTGAGGGTACAAAAAAGTATGTCACGTTTTGACTGACAGGTAAGCAAATGTTCGGCCATTAACCCCTGCGCGTTATTTTCCCTTACAGATGTGTTGGATCTGCTGAGTCGTCAATTTTTCACCATTTGTGATAATTTGACACCACTACAAGAATCTCAGTTATCACTGTCAGCATTGCAGATAAAGTTAGTGTAAACGGAGAACACATGATCCCCGGTCTTAGAACTGTCTGACCTTCAGATTCTAAATTTTAAACATTTCTGCATACTTGACAATTAAAAGCGCATAAACAAACTTCACCCTACAATGCCACCTACTACAGTAAAATATTATTTCTCTCTAATTTGGCAAAATAGGCTTTATTTGAGAGATTAGAAACATTATCGACTAGTATGAACTGCACGAAATATGCCCCTCCCCCTTGTCCCAGATCGAAAGAATACATATACATACGACATATGAGAACTTGAGTCTTTAATTAGAAGCACGTGTATGTCTATTCATAGAAAAAAACTGCAAATTAGGTTTCTAACCTTGTTGATAACGAAAGCAAAATGTTTGTCTAATACGAAAGCAATGCTCTTTTCTTTAATCTGCTGAATGTGGTGTCTTTCAGAAGTGTGTAACCCTCTAAAATGATACAATGGTTGCAACTTTTCCCTGACGAAGAAAAAATAACAGAGGATAAAGTCTAGACAGATGCTTACGCGACAACATTGTTATCGCAAAGTACTAATTAAACAAAATGCAAGTTCTTGTGAATATGGAAAGTGTTTTGTGGTTATTATGTAGGTGAAGTGTTCAAAACTACCTTCATTGTGTTATTATCAATGTTCATAACAGTTCAGAAACAGAGAGAGAGAGAGAGAGAGAGAGAGAGAGAGAGAGAGAGAGAGAGAGAGAGAGAGAGAGAGAGAGAGAGAGAGAGAGAGAGAGTTTTAGGTTAACTTTATTTTGCAAATACAAATGAATTGTCTCGAGATACAACAGAGAGTCAATTATTGTCTCGTTCTTACCACAGGATAATTGTAAATTATATGCATGCACAGCACAAGATTTTATATTATAAGCAGTCATATGTACATAACATGTGTTAATTAACAACTTTATCTAAATTATGATACTGAACACAGAATTACAGTCGGCGCTATAAATGTGCATGTTTAAGGTAATTAGAGAAATACACCGGAAAATGAATTCAAGAAATATTTTTTCGCGAAGATTAACTGTTTCAAGGCAACAAATACAAAAACAAATCGCTAAAATATCAAATTTATGAAATGCAATCATTAAAGTATAAAAAAATCAAAATTATAATTTGACACTGTTTTCGCAGTCAAGTGGTCACGAACTCGAAATCCCAACGCCATAACAAGAAATTCGCGAAACGGCGTGGCCCATACAGGCACCGTAGACACTTTGTCACAGCGCGTTGAAATCCTCGACCCCAAGAACGAAGAACCACAGTCTCACGATAAGCGAATGCCGGGAAGCCTGTTGATGTTGTTATCGGCGGTCATCTTTCTAAGACAGAGGGTCAGCGTTTATCGGGGGGAAAAGAAACTCAGGGTGCCATTGTTTGCACGTGTCACGCTCAAAAGCCAATTATACGCATAAACACTAGGTCTGTTCCCCACGTTTTGTTCAAACTTAAGATACCTACTTTGAACTTCTTATTTTTCTGAGTTTGTTTTCTTTCCGTGCTTTACAATATGCAGAAGAAAGGCAAGACGTTTTGGTTTCCATGTAATAAATAGTGAGAGTTTACGATGACCTTGTCCAAGCCATGGTAATAATGTCAAGGTTGTGGTGTTGGCTTCATTTGTTTAGTAGCCCAGTCACAATGAAACAGCATTATTGTTGAAACGCCAGACAGTTCAGAAACATAATATAATAATGCGATATTATTAGAAACCCAGAATAAATACACTACCAATGTAGCTGATATTAATGTTTATCAATTAAATTGAAAGTTCCGTGGAGAATCCTGGGTACATATATGCTTTCAGTACATGCTAATCTGGAAAAGAACTTTGGCCACTACAGCCATCACACATTGGATAGTTACCAGGGCAATTCCTCAGATGAATATTGCAAAGTTGCAGAATATATTATTCCACGAAATACTCCATTGAATACTCAAGGTCTCTCACAATGTCAGGAACAGGTGACCACAATGATTCCCGTGGAATGATTCAATGTTATCAAATTTGAAAATCATTTTCCGATCTATAACTAAATGCAAATTCCCATTCCCTGATCGTAATTGAACGAGTGACTACAATCAGATGTCCGCAGTAGGAAATTACTTATAAAGAATAAATAATGAACAAAAGAAAACCTCACTTAAATATATTTCTCAGAGGTGGTCTGGCCCGACGTTATAAAAACAATTTCATGCTCAACTCAGTTTCATCCTCAAATTCAATATGTTATACAACATGTGTTCATATTCCTCATTAACAGTATTTGCAATTACGGAAGTCAATCTCTGTGGTGGATGCCCCAAAGGACGTACATGTGCGGCATCTGTGGAGATTTTATGAAGGGTCATATATGTTTTGCATTATCTGAAGAAGGAACTTATGGAGGGAGCCTGCTGTTTGATATATTCACCCTAAGATGGTAATAAATGAGATACAAAGTGCCACCAAAATCCCAACAAGTTCCGGTATAAATGTTCCTCCTACTGACATGATATATGTATGATAACCCATGGATAGTTTTCTTTCTACTCAAAATGGAAGCGTTGACCTTGCCCGTTTATGTATTGGCCGATTGCGACAAAGAAGTGCAAAGTAATTCTTCTTTATTTCTCTACTAATGTTATTGGCATACAGTAAGTCACTCCAAAATTCTTGATTATGAGAAATGTATGATTCGTCTTAAATTTCGAAGATGTGTCAAGTTATTCTATCCAGGACATTCTTGAAAATGTTCTACTTGTAATTCGTTCTACATTTGCAAAATGTTCATGGGAATACAATCTGCATCTCCTCTCAAGATCTTAAAATTGAAATATTTCTGTTACATCGTGTTCATCAAAGTTTATAAATTTTCTTTTCAGCAAGTCATGCTCATGCTTTGTACCCTGCCCCCGGTGGAGGTTTATGTTCATTAAACCTTCTTCTTCAAGGTCCTAACGATTTTTATAAGGATTTATAAAAACGTGTTAATAATGCGGTCTTGCTCGTACAATCGTCTCTGCCAAAAGCAAAGATTTCTTGTGAATATTGAAAGCGTTTTGTCGCTTGGATTATCAGTTTGATCGTCAAAGGTAAAAGAAAAATGCATCAATTAGCACGGCGAGGTGTGAGGTTGTGTTAAGTGTGCCACGCCTGTTGCTGATGAGACTATTTGCAAGAGAACCAGTAGGAGATGGTGACGATGCAATTTGACGGTGCCCTCCACGTGGTGTCATCATAGGCCAGCAGTACCACCTCACGATTCTCAGTGCAGCGACAAAAATAGATTTCAAATATTGCTGAGGGTTGCTATTCTCTTTAAAATGTGCTCTAAATAGTCATAAATCACCCTCCTCGTCTTGGGCTATCACGCTGGCTGTAATCGCTACGCCAGGGCTGCCCTGGAGAACATGGCGACACGAGTCGACATATTGCGACGCAAGTGTAAATATGTGCATAAGCAGAACTACTTGGTGTACACATGTACAAACACCCTGACATTTTAACTATTTATCGGGTTGTATTTTTAAACTTTCAAGACAGTTAATTACTGCTTCAAATGAAGTTATTAATTTTCTTTCATCGAGCTGGTGAAATAATAGGTTTTCACTTTTTAGGTACAATCGAGCATCGTCTCTCTACCAAAATGTTCAAAGAGCGTCATAAGACTCTTGCTCTGAAGTTGTTTGATCAAGGTTACAAAAATCAGTGCCTCAGTAAAGCTTTCAAAAAGTGTTATGGTAGACACGTGGAGGACATTTCCAACTTTGACGCATCAGTGACAAAAATGATGTCCGATGCAATAACATTCCCTAATTTGACTTGTACCTTATTTTCCCGTGTTGTTTTTCCGGTGAAGTTGACTTGCCTTTTCATGTGTTTGTGACGTGTACCACCGGTGAGGCAGGATACGCCCACCTTTTCCCGAACACTGGTATCATTACTATTTGATAGTGATTCATAAACACACTCTTTTGCCTGTTTATTGAATTGGTCAACGAACTAAATCAAACTGACTGTCGTGGAATATTTATCTCAGAAGAAGCACTAAATATTTGTTATTTATTATACGCCGATGATGTTGCCAACACTGCGGATACCACTGGAAGATTACAACAACTGATCAACTGTATAAGTGAATTTTGTAAAAAATGGGGACTGTCTCTAAATATGAACAAATCAAAGATAATCGTTTTTAGAAATGGTGGACGTTTAAGGAACTATGAAAATTGGACTTACAGAGAAGAAAAGATAGAGACTGTGTCATCTTATAAATATTTGGGAC